TAGGGATTCTGCCAAGCACGGAGTAGTTATTTCATAAACTTTATACTGAGATGTACATGAAGAATACAATAGAGACAGAGATTGGCCTACAAAATTCATATAAAGTAATGTCTCTAAAATACTATAAATGCACATCAAGTCAGCTTTGAGTCACACTTGAAATAAATGACATTTTAGACCCTATCTTCCTTCCCTCCATCCCTTCCTTCTTTCTTCATGTGTTTCATCATTGAACAACAACGTGCCAAGCTCTGCTCTGCATGGGACGTGAGCTCCCCATGTTAATTTGCTAGAGCTGCATAGCAAAGTACCACACACAGAGGGGCGGAAGCAACTGAAATTTATTGTCTCCATTCTGGAGGCCAGAAGTCTGAGAACCAGGCATCAGAGGGCAGAGTCCTCCTAGGGCTGTGAGAGAGAATCTGTTCCAGGCCTCTCCCTGAACATCTGGTGCTTTGCTGGCGATCCGTGGTGTTCCTCGTCTTGGAGAGCACCACCCTGACCCCTGCCTTCATCCTCACATGGCGTTCTACCCATGTGCGTGTCTGTGTCCAAATTTCCCCTTTTTTATAAGAGCACCAGTCACATGGGATTAGGGCCCACCCTGATGTCCTCATTGAATTTGATTACCTCTGTAAAGACACTATTTCCCAAAAAAATCACATTCTGAGGTAGCAGTGGTTAGAACTTCAACATATCTTTTGGGGGGGATGACACAGTTCAACCCATAAGATTCGCCAAAGGCAAGGACTCCTTTCTCCTTCTTCTCAGCATCCCTGTGCCAGGGCCTCATACAAGGAAGAAAAGCCTTGGAGGCTGCATATATCCTTTTGCTAAATCTGTATGTGCCAGTGAGGAGGGGTTAAGAGCAAGACTCTGGAACCAGAATGCCTGACCTTGAATGCTGGCTCTGCCACTGTATGACCTTGGGCAGGCTGCTAAACTCTCTGAGCCTCCACATACCCATAGAGCTGTTATGAGATTAAATTATTACTATATGTAAAGCATTTGGCACCATACCTGGTACATAGTAAGTGCTATAGAATGTTCACTGCATAATAATCAAGACAGCATGGTGAGGGCATAAAAACAGCCACACAGACCAATGGAACAGAATAGAATCCAGAAATACAAAAGATGCCAGAGAAATTCAAAGGGGAAAGTTAGTCTTACCATAAGTACCATAAAAACTAGATATTCACATGGAAAAAAAACTAAAGAACCCTTACCTCATGCCACATACAGATTAACTCAAAATGGACCATGGACTGAACCATAGGAGCTAAAATTATAAAACTTCTAGGAGGGAACATAGGGGGAAGTCTTTGCAACCTTGGGGTAGGCAGAGATTTCTTAAATGGGACTAAAAAGGATGAACCATTTTTTTTAATTGATTAATTAAATTTCATCAAAATTAAAAGCTGTAGCTATGTAAAAAAGCTTGTGAAGGAAATGGAAAAGCAGGCTAGACTGGGAAGTATTCACAGAGTACCCAACTCACCAGGGGCTTGAATCCCAAAGATATAAAGGACTCTTAGAACACAGCAAAAACAGGACCAAGAGCCCACTTGGAAATGAACAAAAGACTCGGGCAGACACTCTACAAAAGAAGATATCAGAAGCATCAATACACAAATGAAAAGTCTCAACACTGTAAGGCACCAGGAAAATTGAAACTAAAACCCACGGTGAGATACCACTGTTCACCTTAAGGATGATTAATACCAAAATGGCCGATAATGCCAAGTATTGATGAAGATGTGGAGCCCCTGGAACTTTTGTACACCACTGGTGGGAATCTGAAATGGTACAACCCTTTGGAAAACAGTTTGGCAGTTTCTCACAAAAACTTTACCCATACAATCCAGACATTCTTCTCATGAGTATTTACCCAAGAAAAAGCAAAGCACACATCTACATAGAAAGACTTGGACCCCAGTGTTTACAACAGCTTTAGTCATAAGAGCTCAAACTGAAACAGCCCAAACGTCCATCAACTGATGAATGGAAAAACACACTGTGGTATATCTATTCAATGGAATACTACTCAGCACTAAAAAGGAATGGTATATACAACCGGGCTGAATCTCAAAAGTATAGCGATCACCAGGGCACCTGGGTGGCACAGTTGGTTAGATGTCTGACTCTTCATTTCGACTCAGGTCCTGATCTCAGATCATGATCTCAAGGTCATGGGATTGAGCCCTGAGTCAGGCTCCACATTCAGCATGGGGTCTGCTTGGGATTCTCTCTCCCTCTCCCTCTGCCCCTCTATGCACTTGCTCGCTTGCTCTCTCTCTCAAATAGATAAATAAATCTTTTTTTAAAATAAGTATAGCAATCACCAATATGGACTTCTAACCTAATCTAGACTAATCTAATCTAGAGTAATGGAGAGTACATCAGTGGTTGCTTACAGCTAGGGAAAGGGGCACAAGGGATCTTTGGAGTTAGAAATGTTCTGTATCTTGATGTGGTCATGGCTTTATGGGTGTATAAATTTGTTAAAACATACCAAACTGTACAATTAAAATCAGTACCTTTCATTGAATCTAACTAAGAATTTAATCTAAGTCAGTAAAGTTGATTTTTAAATACTAACAATGACAAAAGATCTTCTCTGTATTATTCCACCAGCGGTCCTAGCACTGTGGGATGGACAATAGGTGGTGGGTACATGGCTGCCAAATGGCTGAATAACCCTGTGGCTCAGGGGTCCCCAGAAAGGATTTCTTGGAGGCTGACAGTCCACCTCCAACTGACATCAGTAACCTTCAGAGGACACTGTTCATCTTGAGTTAATGTTTTCATTAATAACTTTAATGTGGAGTGGAAATACCATGTTTACTCTAATCCCTTTCGACAGGCTGCACTTTAAAACAATTTAAAAGAGGCAGAGACAAAGAAAGGAGCCCTGCGGACTGATTGGGTTTCCCACTAGGACGGACAGAGTTGTTTTTGTCTCCTTCTTTCTCACAGCTATTTCTTTGGTGTCTTCCTAGACATCTTTAGAGACTCTTTCTGAATCAGGGAAGTGTTTCCACCTCTACCTTGGCTCAGGTTACTGATTCATCAGGAGACTTTAGGGAAACGGAATAGCCAGATCCCCACACCCACCCCAAAGCGCTTGAATATTGGCGTCATGATGTAAGACAGTGCGTCTCAACGAGTTAGTATCTGGGACACACTTGCTGACACTGAAATTGTTGGTGGTGCCTTTGAAGAAACTAAAGCAAACCAAAAGAAAAAAGAAAAAACACTCAAAACACTGAAGTCAGTAATAAGTACACGTTAATCTCTGTGTAACAATGCAGCACGTGTTTATCTCAGGACCGCAACTTACATGCTCGGCGGCTCACAGTGACTGTGATGCTCATCATGGTAATTTCTTTCGTCATTTTGGCACTCTGTCACTGGGCACTGTAACCCAAGATTCACAGCTGCCCCACATTCCAGCTATGAGCAGCCTTTGTCTTCAGTGTGAGCTCAACTGTGGGGAATGGTGATGCCATCCTGAGAGTATAGCAAAGACATCCTACATGGTGAAGATTTGCATGTGTGGGTATTAGAAATCGCCAGGGGACAGGGGAAGAGTAATAATCTGTGACTCAAGGCATAGCATCTCCAGTGCTTTAGCTAAGTCTATCTTTTAGACTTTTTTTTTAGTTAAAAAAAAGCTTATTGTGGAAAATTTGGAAAAGACTGAAAAATAACATGTAAAAGAATAATCATATATTTCCCTTCACCATCACGTGAAGCTGGCAGACAAGAGGAGCATCTGCTCCAGCTTCGTGGCCCTCGGCGGTGTCGCTCCCTTCCCTTATCCAAACCGGATGACTCATTTGACCAGGGCCTTTGCTCCCACTGGTCCCTCTGCCTGACAAGCTCCCACTACTGTTGCCTCCTCCAGGAAGCCTTGCCTGATTGCCCAGTGGAGAAAAGCTGTGCATTTTTATGCAGATGCTCTGAGTTCAAGTTTTCTCCCCTCCCCCACCCATCTCTGTCTCTGTCTCTCTCTACTGGCTGTGTGATGGCCACTGAGTTACTTCACCTCTCTGATCTTCGGTGTTTTCTTTCTGTGCACTGGGATGGGGGAGGGAAGAAGAGGGAAGGTACTTGGCATAATCGGAAGACTTGTTATGTGTTTTGAATGCAGTCTCTTATTGAACCACCCGCCCCTTCCAGACAGCCTTGTTGGAGGGTATTTTGGACCTCCTTTCACAGATAAAGGCCCTGAGGCTCTGGGAAGGGAAGTCATTTGCCAAAGCTCACACATCTGGAAAGTGGTTGACCCAGGATATAAACCCAAGTCTGCCTGTCTCTGAAACTTAGCTACATCACTATTTTTCAGGGTCATTGGCATTTGAAGGAGCTCAGTGAAGAGCCCCACCTTTGCCCAAGTGAGAGGTAGACACAGGGCCAGCCGGGTAGAGGTCAGTGACAGTCCTACAGTGGTGGGAAGCTGGGCCGGGGGACATGGCTTCAGAAGCTGCAGTCATAGGAGCTTCCTGGTATCATACCCCAGAATGAAATTGACCCACCCAGGCACAGGCAGAGTGGAAAATGTCAGACCTTCTCTGCCCGCTCCCACCCCTGGGCCCCTGCCTTGGGAGTCTGCCCCATAGAATCGACAACACAGGGGATTAGGAGAGACTGCCCTTGCTTTCCATGGCAGGCTGCCTCCAAAGAGTGGGCGAAGGGCTACAGCAACCACGTCCATTGAGTTCCTTTTGCAGATAAGCCCACCCTTCCCTAACGAGGAAGATTAAAAGGAAAGGTGAGTATATGGACACACAGCAGGTGCTCAAGGATGGTGACTTTCTTCTCCGTCCCTTTCTCATAAAGACCTTTGCCACTCTGGCTGTGGCCATGGAGAAAGTGGCAGGGCTACCTGAAGGTCCAATCTGTCCTTTAACCATGACCCCAGTGCTGGTTCCACGCTCCCCCTCTCCTGCTGCTAGAAGGGAAGTAATAACCGTCTCTCTTTCACCCTGACCTAGGGCTTGGTCATCGAGCGCCTGGGACGGAGACCCCTCCTCATGGGTGGCTTTGGGCTGATGGCCCTCTTCTTTGGGATCCTCACCATCACACTAACGCTGCAGGTGAGAGGGTGTGTCTGTCATGCCCCGAGGGACGTCAGCATGGAGCCGGCCTCCAGCTCCGGTGCTCTCGGGGTGGGTTCCAGCAGGGGCTCTGTTCCTCACCGCCCCATCTCTAAAATGGGACAGTTGTCCCTGTACCCAGGGGTCTTAGGAGGATTAAATGAGAAACTACCTACAGTACCTGGAAGGGCACCCGAACATGACAAGTGCTAGGGGAATGTAGGTTTGGGGAAATATCACTGGTGAAAGTGGTATTTTTCCCTTTTATGGAGACAGGAAACTGAGGCATAAATATACATGAAGAAGCTGCTCAAGGTTCCACAGCTAGTAAATGGCAGAGCTGGGATGAGATTCCAGGGTCTTGGGGTTTCCTCCTACCCCCTGTCCCCTGCACTGCTCAGGACAACCTGCAGTGACGGAGCCCTTTCTTGGTGCCTCGAGCCTGGCTCAGCACCAAGGGAAGCATGAGGCAAGGTCATGGTGGTCAACAAATCTTGGCACTTTTCAAAAATGAATCCCTGAGTGGAAAGTTGCACGTGTTGATCATTTGCCGAATGTCTTAAGGTCCCAAAAACCTCTAGAAAAAGGCAGTATTAGCCTGGTGGTGCCTGACGGACAGCAGCTTGTCGTCCAGAAAGGAAGTGCTGCTGGGGGCGCTGACCAGGCAGGAGGCAGAAGCATCTGCCGTGGGGGTGATGTGCTGGCAGTGACCCCTCCTGCCCGACTGCCAGACCAGGGTTGACCTGCACAGGGTGCCCTTGCAGGCCCCTCAGATGGACCGAGCTGGGTCCCTCACAGTTGGGTGATGTCCTGGTGCATTGTCTTTCTGCAGTTGTGGCAGATGTTTGGAAGGGTGGCCTGGAGCAAGTGGGCCCCCCTAGGCCTCACTTCACAAGGTCTCAGAGCTCTTCCCTGCTTGGCTGCCCTCCTCTGCCTCTGTCCCCCCTTCCCCACTCCCCCAGCCCTATTGCCTTGCAGCCTCCAAAGAGCCTGCCCTTTCCTCTCCCTGGGGGCCTCCTCTGCTCAACTGGCTTCTCTTGCTTTCCAAATTCAGGAAGTTCTGCACATCTCTTAGATACCTCTTCCTCCAGGAAGCCTTCCCTAACCCCATGTGTCAGTGAGGCACCCTCCTCTGTGTTCCCAGGGACCCCAGGGCAACCCTGCAGTATCACTTATCACACAGGATTGGCTTTCCCTGTTATCTCATCTCTCTTTTCTGATAGAATTGTGGGAGCAAGGGCCATGCCTGTATCATTTCTGTATTCCCACCTCCCAGCCCAGTGCATGGCACCCAGGAGAAACTAAGAACAATCTGCCAGATGAACAAACGGATGGATGGATGGATGGATGGATGGATGGATGGATGGATGGATAATGGGTGGGTGGGTGGATGGATGGATGGATGAATAATGGGTGGGTGGGTGGATGGATGGATGGATGGATGGGTGGATGGATGGATAATGGGTGGGTGGGTGGATGGATGGATGGATAGATGATGGATGATGGATGGATGGATGGATGGGTGGATGGATGGATGGGTGGATGGATGGATAATGGGTGGGTGGATGGATGGATGGATGGATAGATGGATGATAGATGGATGGATGGATGGGTGGATGGATGGATGGATAATGGGTGGGTGGGTGGATGGATGGATGGATAGATGATGGATGATGGATGGATGAATAATGGGTGGGTGGGTGGATGGATGGATGGATGAATAATGGGTGGGTGGGTGGATGGATGGATGGATGGATGGGTGGATGGATGGATAATGGGTGGGTGGGTGGATGGATGGATGGATAGATGATGGATGATGGATGGATGGATGGATGGATGGATGGATGGATGGATGGGTGGATGGATGGATAATGGGTGGGTGGGTGGATGGATGGATGGATAGATGATGGATGATGGATGGATGGATGAATGTATGAATAGATGATGGATGGATAGATGTATAATGGATGGATCAATGGGTAGATGGATGGTTGAATGATGGATGGATGCATGGATGGATGGACAACTTAGGGCAACAGTGAGCCATGCAGTGTACAAGAGCCCACAACACTCCCCTCAATCCTAGATCTTCCTTCAGCAAGACCCAATGGACTTGAACATGGAAGGGCTGCTGTCCCCCCCTCTCAGCCCATCACCCTCCACTCTGAACATTTGCTGCTCACCCCTGTGCTCTTCTCGCTTGTGCCTCGGTGTCCTTGCTCATGTAGAACCCTCTCCTGGAACTTTTTTTCCTCTCCTTTTGATCTTGTGTGACCCTGGCTTAGCCTTCAAAGGTGAACACAGTCTCCTCCCCTCTCTGAATCTCTCTAGATTGGGCTCAGGTGCTCCAGCACCTCCAAACATGCTCCCCATGTCCCATCACTGGTGACACCATGTTCTAATGATTAGACATCCAGTCTGCTTGGACATCTTTCCATGCCCAGCACCGAGCCACCCCGACCCTGCCAGACAAGTGACAGCCCCCCCAAACGTATTTAGTGACACCAGTTAACTTATCTCATACCTGTCAGGAGAGCAGGGGTAGAAATGTAGTGTTTTACACAACGAGAGAGATTAAGTAAGAAAATTTTTTAAATGTGCGAGTGCCTGTAAAATTTCTCATATTGCCTGCTTCAGACTAAGCACTCAACCAGTATTAGTTACTCATTTATTTACCACCTGCTGTATGTTGAGGACACTGCTAAACTCTTGGGAGGCATCATCTCTTTTTATCTCAGTCTGCAAAACAGGTGGATGGAATGGCCCGGGGGTTATCATTATCCGCATTTTATGGACACTGAAACCAGGGCTCAGAGATGTGAAGTGACCTGCCCCAGGTCATGCAGATGGATCAAGGAGGTGCTGGGGTGAGAACCTAGGTCCTCTCTGCCCCGCTGCCTCCTCCCCTGCCCACACTCCTGCTCTCTCGCAGGACCACGCCCCCTGGATCCCGTACCTGAGTATCGTGTGCATCCTGGCCATCATTGCCTCATTCTGCAGCGGGCCAGGTAAGGCACGCCTCCTTCCTCACCGGCACCACTGAGCTGGGGTGTTCTCGTTGTACACATGGGAGCTTGAGGCCCGGAAGGGGCAAGGCCTGACTGGGAGTGGAGGGGGAGAGAGAGAGTCCCCTACCTGTTTAAATGCAGTGATGGCCTTCATTTCCACCCCACGTATGGGAGGTAACAGGTAACAGGCGCACCCAGAGTTGGGGAGCTGATAACATAGAACAACATCACAGCTACAATTAACAGTTGCGAGAGCGCTGAGCCAGATCCACTAGGTTGGGATGAATGGGAGGTACTCAAGTTACAGTCTGTGCCCACAGAGAAGTGACTGTTTAGCGTGGAGATGTTTATGATAATAATAATAATGATAATAGTAATGTGTGAGATTTATTGACCACTGGGTATGTGTTCAACATGGCCAAGCACTTGATGTGCATTAAGTCCTTTAAGGCTCGTGACAGCTCCGCAGAAGGCGCCGAGTGAGCTGTGGTGCAGCCACCTGACTCCCAGGGCCCTGATCACCACCACCTTATACTGTAGCTGCAGGAGGGTGGAGTCTGGAGTTTTCTGAGCCTCACTTTCCCCAGGACTCACTTCCAGCCCCAGCTCTGCCATTTCCCTAGTGGGAAAGTCCTCTCCTCTCCTTGGGCCTCAGTGGCCCTGCCACCCCCTGGCTCTGTGTCTGTGTCCTCGGGGTCCCACCAGACAGGGGTCCCCCTCAGCTGGGACTGAGCGCATCTGTCTGGCAGGTGCGGCTGGGGTTACTGTGGTTTCTATGTTGAGGAAAACAACACTACGCTCCTATCAGAACACATAGAACGGAATTTCTGTTTCTCCCTTTGTGTTGCTGCTTTTCGTGGGCCATCACGTTCCATGTCCTGTCACATCTGTGACAGATGAACAGCATCTGTCCGCGATTCCGGACAGCAGGCTATTAGAGTGGGACGGCAGAATGGGCTGCAGAATGAGGGGGAAGGGCGTTAGGCATGCACACACACAGGAACACACACCCACGCCGTGTTGTGATGGGGATCAGAGGGCTGAGGAAGACGGAGACTCCCTGCAGGCGGGGCAGCGAACTGACCAGAGGACCAACAAGGGCACATGTAAATGTGTTCAGTCCCCTTCTATGGGCAGCATTCACGTGGGCCCTGCAGGGGGGCAGCCAGAGGCCCCAGGTGAGGCCTCTGAACACCGGGGTGTGGACCAGAAGGACAGGGCTTACGGGCTGGTGTGCAAATCCCCCTTGAGATGTCAGGCCCAGTGAGTCGTCTCCTGTCCTCTTCATCTAAAATCAGCACCCCCAGGCATACACACACACAGTATGCACATGTGCACACCCTCATGCAGATACACGTACACACACACACATCCACACACGTGCTGTCACATCATCCTGGTTTATTTGCTTTGTCACACCTTCACCGGCTCATCTGTTTCCTGTATATACTCATTTATTTAATGCAAGGATTGGCAAACTTTTTCTGTAAAGGTCCAGATATAAATATTTTTACAGGCCACACAGCCTCTGTCACAACTCCACACCTCTGCAGTGGGAGTGCAAGCACAGCCCTAGACGATGTGCATTCCTGCCAGAAATCCCTCCATCACTTGAGTGCTTCAATCAATGGGGAACTCACTACCTCACAAAACTGACAGTTCTGTCGTCCGGCATCAGCAAACTATGGCATGTGGGCCAAATGTGGCCCATAGCTTATTTCGTATGACCTATGAGCAAAGAATTATCTTTCTTGTAAATTTTTTTTTTAATTTAAAGATTTTATTTATTTATTTGACAGAGAGAGACACAGCGAGAGAGGGAACACAAGCAGGGGGAGTGGGAGAGGGAGAAGCAGGCTTCCCACGGAGCAGGGAGCCTGATGCGGGGCTCGATCCCAGGACCCTGGGATCATGACCTGAGCTGAAGGCAGACGCTTAATGACTGAGCCACCCAGGCGCCCTCTTGTAAATTTTAAAAGAGAAAGTTTGGGGCACCTGGGTGGCCCAGTCGGTTAAGCTTCTGACTCTTAGTTTCGGCTATAGCCCAGGGCCCTGAAATCTGGCTGCACACTGGAACCCCACAGGTGTGTTAGATTTGTTGTTGATTTTACTCCCATTGTGGGCAAACACAGTTTTCTTCTGATCACAGAGCCTGCTGAGCTTCTGGCGGTTTAGATTCTAAGCTCTCCCTAGCATCTGGGAGCCCCCTAAAGGGAGGCCCACCTACCCTCCCTAATCCCAGACCAGAGGGGCCCCTTACCCTCTGCTCCCCAAGCCCCACCATGGTCACCCAGCTGCCAAGCCTCACCCGCTGTAAGATCGGCCAGGCTTTAGAAACTTCTCTTCAGTTCACATTGACAATGCACAGCTTAAGCCCCAGGGAAATTACCTGTCTAAGGGAGGCTGCCACTTGGGTTGGGAGATCATCGTAACTGGACAGGAGCAGATGTCAGGAGGAGCCATCCTGGGAAAGTGTGGCTCAGAAATGCTGATAGATGAGGGACTGAGAGACTCCCCGTTGAGCTGCCCCTCCAGCATTAAGTGAACAGGATCATCCTCCCAGGAAAGAAACCAGGAGTTCGCCTGAGGCAGCTTCTGTGATGAGCAAATCAATTCAAGGAGGCTTGACAGGGAGTTGAAATTAGGTGAAGGGAAAGAGAAGCGGGGCAGGCGGTTTTCAGCTACGTATTTTATCTGTGTGCATAACCCCGAGGCAGTGGCTGTGACAGCCAATAAATGAGGCACCATAAAAGAGCTTTATCTTTGAAGGAAAGGAGATGCCACCAAAGCATTTCAGTTACAGTGTGAAAAATCTTATGACATGGAGGCTCTGTGCCTGGCACCAAGTGAAACCTTCCGAGGGAGGTTTCCATGCTGGTGGGGAGGACAGACACACCACTGTCTACCCCGAAACATGGAGTATGGTCACTGCTCTTAGAAGGTCATTCTGCTCTAAGTGCTCCAGAAGGCCAGAGCCACCCTGATGGGAGTACCGAGTGCCTAGTGGCTGGAAAAAGGGCTCCCCTATCTATCATGTTGATTTAATCTGGAAAGACAATTATGGACTCTCAGAAATATAGATGGATAGATAGGTAGATAGATAAATAGATAGAGATAGAGATATCATTCATTCATTCACCCATTTCGCAAATAGTGAGGACCTACTTCGGAGCAGGCATCCTTCCAGGCCTGGAGATATAATGGTGAAACACACAGACACATATACACGATCTGCCCTCAAGGGAGCTTACCTTAAGTAACAGAGGTCAGGGTCCTACTGGAAGGATATGGCACACTCAAACTGGGATAATTGGAGGAATGTTTGATAACAAGACAAGCTGTAATGGTAAAGGCAGATATAGGGAGATGTCAAAGACCCGATCATTTAGATGATCTCAACATATGACACTAACTTCCAGTGTCCACCCCTCCACCTTTTGGCCATGCAGGAAGCAAAACGATTTAGTGAAAGTTAATTCATCAAAAGTCAGCACACTGGAGGTCAAATTGCTGAAAGCCAAATCATACAGAAAAATAATTTGCTGAATTTATCTTATTTCTCTATCTATGGAGAATGTACAGAATTCTGTCCAGAAAAGAATGATTTTTAACAGCTTTTATAGATTTCTGTGTTGTTGTTCACTTTGTCTGCATGAGTGAACTTTGAAGAACTTTCCTCTTTTTTTCTTCGTTCCCTGCTGTTGTGGGTGGAGGTTAGTGGGGAGTGGCATTAAATATATTCTCATCCACAGTAGGAATACGTGTCTTCCTCAGCTCTAAATCCATTTGGTTTCAGAGATTCGTGTAAAAAACAACTGGATTTAGATAGCAAGGATATGTCAACACATTTATCTTAATTTATTTTATTCTCTGTTTGGGAAACAAGAGTGTGGATAACAAAGGTTCAGATAGCCAGGGCTCCCCACCTGTCCATAGACTGGTTTCTCTTACTAACGTCTTGTTATTCACTAATGCATTTTACGTCTTTGGCTTTGGCTGTGTTGACCTTGAGCCAACCTTGTGACCTTCCTTAGTCCCTTCTCTGAGCCCTGCTTCCTGGCCAGGAGAGGAGACAGCACAACCTGCTGCCCCAGCTAATGCACAGGGAGGATGTGGGGCTCCAGAGGGGCCATCTGTGGATGGTTCAGAATGTTGCTGCCCTTTTGCCAAAATCTGCAGTGATTTGGGCAAGGCCATGTCCCTCTGCGGGTCTCAGTTTCCCCATCAGTGAAATGAGGGTCTGACCCAGATTAGGAGTTCTCCAGGGGGCGGCTACCCTTTAGAAACCCCCATCTGTGGTCAAACATAACCCCAAGGCCCTGTCCAGGCCACTGGGCGGGCAACAGGAATGGCATTTTAACATGTTTTCTGAATAATCCTAAGCCGCCAGCCCAGCCCAAACCACTCCTGTCTGTGGAAGCTTCTAGACTTAGTGACCAGCTCCATGACCGCCCAAAGACTCTTGCTCAGTGAGCTAGCCAAACTGAGCACTGGCCATTGATGTCTCCAGCACAGACCCTCAGGACAATAGTAAAAGTCACAGTAACAGGGTGCCTGGGTGGCTTAGTCATTAAGCGCCTGCCTTCGGCTCAGGTCATGGTCCCAGGGTCCTGGGATCGAGCCCTGCATCGGGCTCCCTGCTCGGCGGGAGGCCTGCTTCTCCCTCTCCCACTCCCCCTGCTTGTGTTCCCTCTCTCACTGTGTCTCTCTTTGTCACATAAATAAAATCTTTAAAAAAAAAGGTCACAGTTAATGATAACAGTGAGAGTGTGGGCAGTCGTGTACCTCACGGGTGTTTCGGGGTCTGTGCTGGGTGTCTGGCTCGAGCCAGCTCTCTCCGCCCTCACTCCAGCCCCACGGGCCGACCGTGGCTTTCCCAGTGGGCACATGAGGGAGCTGGGGCCCCCGAGAGGCTCTGCTCTCCGAGGTCGCTCGTGGCAGATGCTCCCGAGGTCAGCAGGAGGGCGGTGCTTGTGCTCCTAGCTACTGCAGTGGGGTGA